GTAGCTCGTCTGTGTTGGGACATTCTTTTGAACAGTGGCTGCTTTGTTTCCCCGATGTATAACTGGTCGCAGTCCTCCTGGCACTTAACAGCAGAAACGTTTCATTAGAGAAGAACCCATCCAGAAGACCTATACAATTTTTTCTTTTTGATTTTTTACCTGGATTACTGAGATGCATCAGGATATTAAAAAAAGGTAGTTCTAATGAAGGGAAAGCACACTTTTTAACTTTTCTACAGCATGTGATTTATTGCTTTTTCCATGAAAATTACACAGGGTTTTTTTCTATGATTTCTATAAAGTAAAGCTCGTATTCACTGTCATAAAACTGAAACTTAGAAATGTAGTTTAACATTTTACTCCAATATAGTTTTTAGGATAAAAAAATGAAGTAAATGATATGACAAGATGTTCACTCTCAGAAAAGAACACCAAATATAAATCTTTAGAGAATTAGACATTACTACTGATTACCAAATCTATGCACAGAATTTTTACACATCGACCAGTATTTCTTCTTTACATGGCTGTCTTCTGAACCTCTAATGAAACTGCTGGCTCATTAATATATTAACACATCACACTAAATAAACTCTTAATCATTTACAAAGTATTGTTATTTTCTCTTAAAGCATTCAGCTCATGGCCATATATTCCTTAAGACTTTCACATCAACATCAGCCAAACAAATCAAATAAAACAGAATGATAAARGTGTTTACAACTTTAATATAACTGAACTTAGTGGTAATACTATGTACCTCCATTTAATGTAGTGGATCTTTTCTTTAAAATGGCCGTGAGGAGAAGTTGTTTTAAGTATCGAATGAACAATCGGCAGAGCTGCGAGCGGTTAAAATGAACATGACTGTTTCAATCCTTAGGAAGACGGAAACCATCTTTTTCTTTCCGAAGACTTCTCATGGTTTCAATCGGTTCTGTCTGCTTCACGTGGTCTTGGACAGACTTCTCTCTGGTTTAGACATTAAAAAGAAAACAAGTGATTCAATAGCTCTGAAAAAAAACTGCAATCTTCTTCAACTCCAGTTCCAAAGACGTCGAGACATTGTGTAAAACATAAATATAAACAAAATACGATTATTTGATTTCAACCTATATTCAACTGAATACACTACAAAGAAAATATGTCTAATGTTCAAACAGATAAAATTTATTGTTTTTTGCTAAAATTCACTCATTTTGAATTTGATTCCTCCAACACGTTCCAAAAAAAGCTGGGATAAGGACACTGGGAAAGTTGCTCAAAAACACCTGTTTGGAGCAATCCACAAGTGGACAGGTTAATCTGAAACAGGTGAGTCTCATGATTGGGTACAAAGAGAGCATCCCCGAAAGGCTCAGTCGTTCACAAGCAATGATGGGGAGAGGATCACCACTTTGTGAACAACTGCGTGAGCAAACAGTCCAACAGTTTTAGAATGTTCCTCAATTGCAAGGAATTTAGCATTTTATCATCTACAGTCCAGAATTTCATCAAAATATTCTGAGAATTTGTACAAATCTCTGCAAGGAAGCAGCAAGGCCAAAAACCAACACTGAATGCCTACTGCGTTAAAACTACATCATTCTGTAACAGACATTAACACATGGGCTCAGGAACACATCAGAAAACCAATGTCAGTGAGCACAGTTTGTTGATACATCTATAAGTGCAAATTAAAACTCTACCCTGCAAAGCAAAAGCCATATGTCAAAAACAGCCAGAGAACTATTACTAAAACTATTACGGTACTAAGACAAAACTACAAATACAAAGGTCCATTTATAAACTTTGTTAGGGTTCATCCTGTGATGTTGTCTGTAACATCACAGGTTATCTGTAATGTCAATGTTATCCATGACATCACAAGGCTAACCCTAAAAAGCCAAAGCCATATGTCAACAACACCCAGAAACGCTGCTGGCTTCTCTGGGACCGAGCTCATCTGAGACAGACTGAGACGAAGTGGAAAAGTGTCCTGTGGTCTGATGAGTCCACATTTCAAATTGTGTTTGGAAATCATGGACGCTGCGTCTTCTGGGCCTACGAGGAAAAGGACTGATTGTTATCAGTGCAAAGTTCAAAAGCCAGCCTCTCTGATGGTATGGGGGGTGTGTTGGTGCCCATGGCATGGGTAACTTGTACAACTGTAAAGGCATCATTAATGTGGTTTTGGAGCAACATGTGCTGCCATCCATGCCACGTCTCTTTTAGGGCAAGAATGGAAAACAATTCCACCTACAAAGCTTCAACATTTAGTTTCTTYAGTTCCCAAACATTAACTGATAAAAGGAAAGGTGATGTAACAGAGGTAAAACTTGCCTCTGTCCCACCTGTTTAATGTTCTGCAGGCATCAAATTCAAAATGAGTGAATTTTTGCAAACAAACAAAGTTTATCTGTTTGAACATTAAATATCTTGTCTTTGTGGTGTATTCAGTTGTATATGTTGAAAAGCATCTGCAAATCGTTGTATTCTGTTTTTGATTTATGTTTTACACAACGTCCCAGCTTCATAGGAATTGGGGTTGTAGTATTCAGGCTCAGGTTGGACGTACTTTACTCTCATAAAAGGATTGAAGGTAAATTCGTCTGCCAAAGTGGACGGTATGGTTGGCTCTCCRTCGTTGCACCTCTCCTGCAGAGAGATAAAGGAGCAGATAAAAAGCTGGTAATTAGAACAAAGATTCAGGTATTTAATCAAGTAGCAGCAGTGACCCGTTAATCAAATACCTTTGCCCAAGCCAGCTTCTTCTGAATGACTTCATTATCTGGTTCGACATGACGAGCAAACTTCAGATTGCTGACAGTGTACTCGTGACCGCAGTAAACACGCTTCAACAAAATAACAACACAGCAGTCAGGAAATTAAACTTAAATACACTGTTAAAAATAGATATACTTTACACAAATCAGTGTACATTTTAAGACTTAAAGGAGACCAATTATGGGTCCTAGAAATTTTTATGGTATGTCTGTGGGCTATCCAGACCATGTTCATTCCATTTAATGCACAAAATAATTCTCAGATAATAAAATTTCCCATTATCTAGTTCTGCCTGCTCTGACTTCCGTTCAGAAGAGCTGTTTATGTTAATGAGCTCTGTTGGTAACGCCCTCCAAAAATCTGTTGACATTAACTCCGCCCTCCAAAGCCAGCGTTTACGTTAGCATGGCTAACGATAGCAGAAGCTCCGTTGTACAACCATATGAGACCCAGAGGAAGAGTCGTGATTACCAGAGCAGGGAGCAGCAGCGGTCAAAATACCTCAGAAACTCGAACAAATAGGCTTTAACAGGGTTTTAATAAGCTAAACAATAGAGGTACATGAGAAAACGTGTTCATAACAAATGAAAATAAATAATTAAATAATGAAATTGTGTCCGTACCGGTCTCAAACCCTGGTCTCCCACTCTCTGGTCCAACACTCTACCCATTGCCCTATTGGAGGCTTGTTGTGAAATGAGCTGCACATTGTACAACAACAACCGTGGCGGCTTTTTATACTGAGGAGGTGGAGTTTCACCCGGGGCTTGCTAGGTAAGGGGCTGAACGCAGGTTCCGGTGGGTTGTCGTACGGCTTGTGACATCACAAAATGACGGAAGTATAAAACTTGTCATTAAAATACATTAAAAATACATTTACTTACAGTAAATATGCCCCTGGGTGCATTTTTTTAGTCCTAGGACTGTTTTTTTAAGAAGTACATACCCAAAGTTGAGTAAAAAAAACTTTAAAAAGTGAATTTTGCATAATAGGTCCCTTTTAATGACGTTMCATCTGAAATATTTTGTTGACTGGCTTGTGAATTGTTTTGACAATGTGTTCTGGGGAGTTATCAGTAATCCATAACTGACCTAGTAAGAAGTCAGCCAAGAGTATTATCAGTCTGCAATATCAGGTGGATGTTTCCTCGAGGGAGAAAAAAGCTAACAGCCGGTCAAATCGAGGCCAAACAAACTCTGAAGTTCAATCTTTAAAATGTGACAGGAGTTCATGCAAACACACCTGATAAACCTTTACACTGCTGCTGTTTTTCTGTTAAACACTTACATAGACTTTTGTGGGCATTTACACTTAAGACTGCTCTAAAWGCAGCTCGTTATCATTAATAATCACTGTTAGAAACAACGTCAGTGTAAAAGTTTAGGAAGTAAGAAGCCGCAAAACTGCTGCAAAATATTTTAGATGGAGTTGTTTGACGTTTTCTACTGATCACTGATAACCTCCCAGAACCTCACATCAAAAAAAATCCAGTGCTTTATAAATACTTTTCTTTAAAAACTAACATCAAATTAGAGCTGAAGTGCGGTTATATTTACTGTTTCGGGAGGAAGACGTCCCAAAATGTCTATCAGGGCTTTGTACATCTGCTCCGCTGTGCCCTCAAAGAATTTCCCACAACCAGCCACAAACAGTGTGTCACCTGAAAGCAGCAGAACATGACAGCATGTAAGATATTAAAAGGTAATAATTGTCAGTGTGCTGGCATCTGGGCCATRTAACACACTGTATGTTAACCAGAGAGGTCATGAGACCCGACATACCTGTGAAAACAGCAGGTGGCTCCGAGCTGCTCTCTTTAGTTACATAGTAACAGATGTGACCAGTTGTGTGACAAGGCGTGAAGAGGCATTTAATGTTCAGTGATCCAAGCTTTAAAAACAAAAATATATATATACTACAGTTTGAGCTGATACCTCTTTTTAAAACTTCATATTGGGGGACAGTTAGGGTAATGTTCTCACTTTAAAAGTGTTGGAGTGAGAAACTTTCTTCGTGATGGCATCAACTCTGTCATCGCCTCCATACACCTTCAGTCCTGGCATTAGTTTCACCATCTTCTCATTTCCACCGGCGTGATCCCTGCAGAACATCACACAGACGCACGTTTTCAATCCCTCTTCAACAGTGAAAGCCTGAGTGACGTTGTGAGTCCAGCGAGCCTTTGTTTCATTTGTTTAATGGTAGAGAATGATACCGTACAGCATACCAGTGGTGATGGGTGGTCAGAACGGTTGTGAGTTTAACGCCATGTTTTCTGACAGCTTCCACAACCTGTTGAGAGCACAGCAGAAGGAACTCAGGTGGTTAGTGAGGCAACGGTAACTGGCAAAGGCAGAGAGGTTGATATTTAGGTTGTTAATCAAGCGAGTTATTTGTTGCAAATATGTAGCAGCTGAGGCTCAGCTGGTAGAGCTGTTGCCTYTCAGTATGAAGGTTGCCGGATCAAATCCCAGCTGGGGGATCTGTTTGGGTAGGGTTTGCATTTCCTCTCTATGCATGCTGGGTTTTCTCCGAGTACTTCAGTTTCCTCCCACCGACCAAAACCATGAATGTTWGGCTAACCGCTAACTTTGAATTGTCYCTAGGTATAAGACAGTGAGTGCTGGTTTGTCACGGCGGCTCAGTGGTTAGCACTGATGCCTCATAGCAAGAAGCTCCTGGGTTCACTCTGGTTCTCCCCACAACACAAAAACACGTCGCCTTCAGGCCCAGGCCGCCCTTGCAAAAAAGATGTGTGATCTCAATGGGATTTTCCTGGTTAAATAACTAAAATAAAAAATAAAAACACAAAAAAATAAAATACTGGATCTGGCAAGTTGGGAGTCTTTTAAAAACCTGTGACTGGATTTTTTAAAAATCCATTTGGGTGTCCTGTGGTGGGT